AGAAATACAGCTGCAATCCGGGGAGTTTCAGTGGAGGAAGCTTCCACCTAGTCCACTGGAAACCAAGAAAGGAAGCAAAGGATGGTGCAGAATTGGGTGCAAAGAATACAGCCCCCTCTCTCCATCCTCTCCCGCTGCCTGCCATGAGCTAACCCTAACGCAAAGATAGGTGGCACTGTGTTCTTGGAGATGTCAAACCAGAGCTTCACCTCCTCGGGACATCCAAGAGCACACGTCGCTCTTTCCAAGCACCAGAGGTGCCCTTCTTGGTGATCTAGTCCTTAGGTGTTGCAGCTTTAATAAAAATTCAGGTGATCTGTTTTGTTTGGAGAAAATATTCTATTACTTCTGGTTTACATATTTACTGTGTAATATTCTTAGCTTATGAAGACTGCCATGTTTCACCTCAGAGTGCTGCATTTCATGTAAAGATGATTAATTTGTAGGGTTTGGGGGAAGGAGACTTGGTAAAGAGATTTTCTCTGCACGGTTGTTAGTAGCCACGGGAACTTATTTAGAATTGAGCAAACAGAGACGTTGAAGGCCACTGACTAGTCATCTCATGGACTGGGAGCTAAAGTCAGCCAACATCAAACTGGAAATAAATTGCAATGGTTGGGTTAGCTTGAAACAGTAAGTGTAATTTACTGTTGTACTACATTATACATTGCTGTGGCAAACTATCCATATTTGTTTTATATAATCTTTCTAAAAGATGTGCTTTAATTCACTGCAACTTGCTGTTTTCCATGAGGCAAATTCCACAGCCTTTTCTTTGTAAGAGGTTGTATTAGATTATGAAAATAGTTTATTCTGGCCTTTAAAGCAATTAATCTATGTTCAGTTCATTTTTATCTTAGTCTTTGAGCAAGTTGCATACCACTCCTGGGGTGTGGCAGTGAAGCTAATAAGGTGATTTACTCCATTTCCAGAGGCCTGATTTGGCACTTTCCTATGGAATTGTGCTTCAAACTGTCTTCATTTGACCTTAATGTCATTCTAAAGTTACCACCGTTTTTCTTGCCTTTTTTTGTAGACAAGGTTGTTCCCCTCAAAGTCCAAATGGGCCATCTGATGTTCTTGATGTGGCCATGTATCTAATTGTCCCATCTTTGATTTGCACCTCACTTAATTTGGAGAAAACTTAGGAAATGCCAGTATTTTTCTTTGCACAATGGAGAAATGAAAGATTTAAAATAACTGAAATGGGCATATCTTTTCATATGTTTCTTTCGTTAACGTGACAATTGAAAAAAAAAAAAAGCCAAAAATGTTTTTTGAAGACAATATATCGATCAAGGCAGCATAGGAAGAATCAAAATGAAAGGTACCCTGGTTTTATTTCACTGATAAGGCATGCAAAACTATTACTGGAAAGACTGCAGAACTCCAGTAAGTGTTCCTGGAGGTTTGTGACTGTGACAGGGATCTTTTGGTAAAATTATAAACTAAACTAAACTAAATCTATGAATTAAATGGCAGAAATGTGTGGTTTTTATTTTGGTTATAAAAAAGCAGGTGCTTGAGCTGAAAATATAAAAGACCTGAGATCTAAAAAGCAGTATCAGCTTTTATAAGGTAGCAATATTGTCTAGAAAAATGAAAAACAAAACCCAAAAAACTAGCCCTCCCCCACATGACTGAACACCCTCCCTTCGAGCACAATGTAAGGCAGCACATTTATACTATAAAGTCAAAACAAAGCTAAAAGCAGTAGCATGATCTCAAATAATATGGTTTTTATGGAAGTGAGCACCACGTATTATGAAAGCAGGATGTCAGAAGACTGTGGTGCATTACCCTTTAAGCAAATGAAAAATAATTTTTTCTAGAAACTAAAATGCATTTTAAGGAGCAACTTAATGAAGAACTGTCAGTGGTTGCTCACACAGAATTGTACGCACGCTAGAGCTCCTCGGGACATACAGTTAAGAAACTCTAAGTCTATTTAGATAGATTTTTTTTTCCCAATATATTGGTCCAGTTAATTATGATGTAAAATATTTGAAAAGGACAGAGGTAGTAGGCTGTATCACTGGATGCCTCTATGACTTAAGAGAATGAGATATACTCATATACCAAAGTGATGGATTGTTGATATCAAAATTATATAGTAATACTATTGTATTTGTTCCAGAAAAATCTTATTTATGGGCACACATTTTAAAGTCAAGAGAAACCTGTAAGGTCAGAAGAAGACATCTGTTTTGAACTTCTCTGTAAAAAACATGTATTTTCTGCCAGCAATTTCTACCCCAAGCTGGGAATTTATCTAGAACAGCTCAGGTAACAAAAATTTTTCTTCCATTTTCTAGCAAAGTAAGTACAAAGGAATATGAAAGTGTGGACAATGACAGTCCCTCTTATGTATTTGTGACTGGCATTATCTTCAAAAATGTCAACAGGTCCTGCTGCTACTCTTGTTCACTGTCTAGAGGTACATTTTGTTCCCTTTGCTTTGCATTGCTCTGGCCTTTGGTGTTTTGATTGAAATAATGCTGTGAGCTTTGGCTTCCATAGACAAATTTTGTTAGAATTATTTACTTTGGACTCTAGTATCCTGGTTGCTTGACTAAGAGATAACAAAATTATCAGAAATTATATGGAAGTCACTTTTTAGACTTAATTGTAGGATGTCACTGGAACTTCAGATAATGCTGGATCTTGACATTAGGACCATGTAGGATGCCAAACTAAAAAGTTTCTTTCATGATTCTGTTTTTATTTCTCACCCTCCACAACCTGTCTATTTATAATTATTTTTCCCATCATTCAGTAGGGGAAGAACTTAGATGTGAACCACTTTCATACTGCACGAAGTTAAAAGCTTTACACTTCCACTAATGCTGATTAATTACACTCTTTCCTGTGCTATGTATATATATATTTCCTTTGATTCACTAGCAAAACCTAATCAATTCTGTTTTCCCAAAGTTTTTTGCTGAAATTTGCCCTGTTAAAGAGGATTAATGTCAGTGGTGCACAGCTGGGGAGGGAGTTTGCAAGTGTACAAGAAGGAGAAGACTTGTACCAGCAGGTCACTACTGAAACCCACTCACAAGGGCTGGCAGCAGAGAATGCTTCCAAAGAAGTTTTACTTTTTTCCACTTGGTGAATGTGGCATTAACTAATGGGAGAGAAATGCTGAGAAACATTTGTTTTTTGTTGAGATCTATCAGCCAAGTTAATTGTTTTGTTTGTCTGATTTATTATACTTGAATGGATAAAGTCCTATTAATATTGCACTTTGGACAAGAAGTTAAAGCCAGAATAGTCAAAATGTTACTCATCTGGTTGGAGTACCTCAATTTTATATGAGGGAACAAAATTAGATATTCTTTTTAGAATTGTGGATATCTGTAACTCACTTCAAAGTGGAAGCATGTAACAGCAAACTTTATGCCAATATATTATCTGTCTCTGCCATAGTCTTCCAAATAGCTGTTTCTGAAAAACAGAAGTGTTCCTATTTTTTTATACATTCTAGCTATTCTGTCCAAGTCAAATATTGAAATGGAAATTAGTGACTATTACTTGGTCTCCAAAATAAAATATATTTGACATGATCAAGTGTTTAGGGCTTTCATAAATGTGTCATCAATGTCTAAATATCAGTTACTTGACATAATACCTAATATTTACTTCATTTTCTCCTTATGAGCAATTTGGGAGTGAAAGTATTTTTTTATTTGTCCTTGCTTGTTTAGACAATAAGACAGATCAAGCAGAAGTAATTCCAGAGACAGGGTTAGAGCACCAGGCTACAGCTAATCCTGCAGCTGCTTCTCATAAGGGCTTGCACTCACCCCCTGGTATCTCATGTAGTTGTGGCCAATTTGAAATCACAGAGCATGATACCTTTTCACTACCCATCCTACTCCTTGCACAGCAACCCAGTATCACTGCAGGATGCTGTTATGACTTGCTTGAATCTTTTTTTGCTCTGAAATGTTGGTATGTCTTCATGTATAAATATCAACCATCAAATCTCTTAGTATCTTTTTACTTCCCTTTTTTCTTTCTTTCTTTTTTCTTCATCAAACCCTAGATCAATACCACAGATCAACACTAGAGAAAAGCAGAGTTGTTGGGGTAGGGAGTTTTCCTTCCCAGAGACATTTTCAGAGACTGTTCTGCCATAAGGTGGTAGAACCTTGTTCTGGAGTCTGAGATCTGCAATATCTTTGGAGAGTCCTGATATCATAATGGTTTGTGGTCCCTAAAGTTATCGAAAGTCACTGCTGATCTGTTTATTAAGGGAGTTATGGCTTAGAATTAGGAACAGCAATTAGATCCAGAAGCAAGTGTGGATACATCAGAATGTGTACAGCCCTGGAGTAACATGTTCCTAATACTCATATCAAACAAATTGTGATTTGTGTGGCTTTCTTTTTTTTCTTCAGTGATTGTTAGAGACAGTGTAGGAATTACTGTAGAAAGCTCTTGGGCTGGGACAAAAAGGTTGTCTTTGGAGTAAATATCACTGTGAAAACTTTCCAGCCTAAGCCTTTCATTAATTTCTCTGTGTCATCTTAATATATTTAAACTCTGTAAGAAATTATGCTGCAAAAAGTTCTCCCCACATGTACTTTTTCCTCAAGTGAAGTGCATACCTTTCAAATTATAAACTTCCTACTTGTCCTAGGAAAATTCTCACTGTATAAATAATTGAACTCATCTGCTGCAAACACAAGTATTCTTTCTCTAGCAGTCTAAAATATATGCCTAAATACACATTTTGTACTTAGTGCTTTAAATAGTAATTACTCCTGTGAAGTCACTGGAAGCCCTTAAAAGGATTTGACAGTTTCCCCACAATCTTTCAGTGAATGTAGTAGCTGGGCTGTACAGTGCTACATCCACTGATAATTCAGCAGCTGAGGAACTCAGCAGAGCCTGCTCCAAACTTCTCAGCTGTTGACAGGCTTGACTTGCTGAGAACACTGGTTAAATATAGCACAAGCGAGCTGAGCTCAACGAAGTCATTGCTGTAACACTGTGTGAAGAGACCAGAAGAGGGGAAATACAATCTGAGAACTAAACTGCCAAAGCCTAACACCACCTAGCAACAGTTGAAAAAACTTTTAAACAAAAGTCTGGGTGAGACACAGACAGAGTATACCTCCTACTCCTCCTGCCTGGGATTTCTGCAGAAGCAGCTACGGTCTTCTGTTCTCTACCTTGTTTTCTTCATTACTTCCACTGCTGGTAGACCTAGAAACGTGGGAAAAGTTTCTATCTTTGTGTTCTCCTGAGCTGGATCAGTCAACTGCTGTGGTAGTGCTGTGGGACAAGCTACTGCGATCTTGCAGGGTTAAAGGACATATTCCTGGGTTTGTGTTGCTGACAGGTAAGACTGAGCTCCAATGCCTTTTTTTTTTTTTTTTTTTACAAGAACTTTTCTTTTCCAGTGTCCCTTTTACAGGAATTTTCTTTTCTAATGTAGATTGTCGTTTTCCTTCTTTGAACAATCTTCTGAATGGTTTTGAAATATTGTCAGCAGATGAAAGCTGGGATAAAAATTTTAGATTTTAGGGTTTTTTTACACTTCCACCATAGAAAAGCATTGCTTAAATAACTTTTGCAGTTCTGAGAACTAGCATAATCAAGTAGCTAGTAGTGAAAAAAGTGTGAAAGTATGAAAAAGTGTGCATAGATTTTGATATGTATCTTGCTTATATCTGCTTACATGCTGACAGAAGACAAACCAACATTTAATAATAGAATGCATATCATCCCTTACCAGTGATAGTCTAGCAGCTATTAAAAACAGTGGCAGCCTGTGTGATAAATAAGAGGAAATAGCGATTCAGTAACAGAATTACCTTCATGACCCAGCGCATTTGTACTTTTTCTTTCCTTATTAACTCTTAACACATGGACACACCTGGTGCCTTTCGTACTACCTTTGTGACAACAGCTCTTGGTTCTTTCTCTTGTACTTATTTACATATAATGAATATTAATCTCTGCTCATTTGATTAGCTGTATAATTCAAGTGTCATAAAGACTGACCTTATGTTTATTGTACCTAAGTGTGCTTGAGCTGGGTCACTGTTGTTAAAGTGTATGTTTCTTCTGGCAAAATAAATGAAAAACCGGTTCTCAGATGTTTTACCCTGACAGTAGAATGGAAGTCTGATTGTCTTTTGGAAATGCATATCCTATGACCCCATAAGGATCATGTAATTTCAGGGAGGACTTGCTTAATATGATTTACTTTGTCTAAACTGATAAAAGCTGTTTGATCCATTGAAGAATGAATTCCACCCCCCTCCCCGCCACATATTTTAAAGCCGTTTTCTCCAAAGAAAGGAATCGAGTATGCATGAATCTTTAAAAGATATACCGATTATGAGTTCATGTGCAATATGAATTCAGTTGTGAAAGAAAAGAGTTAAGGAATGCACTTAACCCAGGCAAAACCACAGATTTGTATAGAATTGTCTCAGATGAAAAATATTTGTCCTAAAGAAGGAATGAACTAACTGAGTCCACGCTGACTGACTGTGGTGTTTGACACTTAGTCTGAGGACTCCGGGACTGCCTCAGGGAGATGAGAATGACTTGCTTTCACTAAATAATTCTCGTTGCATCCCTGCATACTACATAAATGACATCAATACCACATCTTAGCAGTGGATGGATTGGATGGAATTAAAATACTTTGAAGCAACTCTGACTTGGTGACTGAGAATGTAACTGCCCGTGAAACAACAAAATAAAGGAAGTATTAGGATGGAAGAAAATTCCTAAGAGCAAAAGGTAATATAGTTTACATTCTACTTCGAAGCAAGGGGCGCACTAAAGCACTAAACAGAAATATTTTTTAGTGGCCATGATTTAATGTGATAATCATTGCTGTGGAATTATTAGAGCACTATGGTATCCCAAATCTAAAGCTCGAAAGGAAACTTTGGAATTACTTTTTAATAGGGACATATCCTGAGAAAGTTATTTTTTCATAAGAAGTCTATACAGTGAGGATTAAAACCGAGACAATATGATTTGTATAGTTTTTGTTATCTTGACATTTGAGTGAAAATTACCATTTCTTCTCTTTACTGAAATTTTTGGCAAATAAACTGTGGAGAAATTACTTTTGGAATATACAGGGACAGCCAAATCTGGGAAAATGATGTGCTGTAATTGACTGTTTTTTCAGTTTAGTTGTTGCTCAGCATAATGTGTGGGTTTACAACTTCAGTTGTCTTGCACAATTTACTTTTAGGAAAGTTTTTAAAATCGAAAGGCGTATTTATTAGCCTGATAACTATCAAATGAGTTGACATTTGAACAGTCTAATTGCAATTCCCAACTCCAACACACTGTGATTTTCCATACATCTGTCTTCCTTTCCACTTCAAAATGGAGGAGGAGGCTAAAATTACTCTTCTCAACAGGTGTCCACAAAGAGGCTCTGGGATTTTCCAATCAAATCTGTGGAATATGTAATGTGGCTATTCAACAGATGGTTTCATATTTGAAAAATAGCCAATTCTCCTACTGACTACAGTGAAACCAAGGTTCATTTTATATCAAATCAAAAAGTAGTTTATGTTTTGGTGATACACTCCATTGTAGAGATTTTTGTGGAAGACAAGTAGATGTAGCATACCCATTTATTCTCCCCATTTAACATGATTTTAATTTTGTTTATATTAGAATAACTGTGGAATGAATGGTGCCTTTCATGGTGCTAAAGGCTGTGTATTCCTCCCAGTATGAATCCACTTCCAGCCTCTCTGGCTTCTTTGTCTACCTTCACTAAAGCAGTATTATAATTTATTTTAGGGTAATGTTTATATATTATGAGCTATTATTTAATTATTATATTTATTTTATTATAATTTTAGCCAATCTAGCCACAGCTAATTCACCATCTCAACTGAGTGGTTTTTTCATCACCTCAGTCTTTCAATCTCTTTATAGAATGTCTGCTTGTTTTGAACACCAAATTGAAAGAGTTGAAATTCATCTTCAAATCTGAGAGCTGTTTGGTCCCTGCTTTTAGATATGCCTTGATTTTCCTGTGCCTCTCCCTCTCATATCTGGTAGACTATTAAACTTCACCTCTGATGTTAACTGGCCCATCCCCTATGTTAGAAATTGACATAAGAACATCAGAGTTTTCTGTTGCGCCACTCACTGTGGCACCTGACACTAATATCCTGGAAAGACTCAACTTTAATGTTAACAGAGCTGTGTCAACCAAGGTAGGATTCCTGAAGATACAGATGTGCTGCCTGGAAGCAACTTGTGGAGTAAGCATTAGCAAATTAGGAAATCTCTATTTTGGTAGTATGCCCTGTTCTGCTCCTTGGGCTCACAATTTCACCACTGTAGCCATTTCCATACTAAAAGATGTGTCAGTAAAACTCCTCCTGATACAGGATCTTTCTGCTGGCACAGATTCCACACATACTAGATTTAAGGCTTTTGTTAATCTTATCTAATTCAGGCAATGTACCCTCAGGCAGAAATTAAGAAATTAAGCCTCAGAGCTGTGCCAGTCAGAGGTCAGCTTATGCCACTGAACTCAGAGTGAGATTTCTTTTGAATTTAATAAGATCAGGTTTTAGTGTTCAGTAATTAACAGATAAATTTCCAGTCCCCTCAAGAGCATTTAACAAAATGGATCATCTATATTCCTGTCCAAACATTTTTTTTCCTAAGAGACATTTTACTTTTCCTCCAGTTTCCTGTTTCTTACCTTCTTTTCTCAAGGTCTGTCATTGCAGTTTGCCATGCAATTTGAATATATAAACTGAATTTGGAGTGGGGATTTTGTCCTTCTACATCTCTAAAATGCAATTTGGAGAAATAGAGTGAATATTTGTGAAGAAGCCAGATGAAACAACAACACAAAGGAAATGGAAGTCAATCTATTCATACTTGCTATTTCACCAAAAATATTTAGTATATAAAATCTAGGCTAAGAACTGAAAGCTGGAAAGATAAAATAGTGTATGTGATAAAATAAGGATATTCTGTTCTATAGAATAGTTTCAGAAGCCCAAACACCTAAACTTTTCAGCTTCAGCATCTTATTGTAGTTCTTTTAATTTCTAGACTTTTCTCTTTTCATTTCTCTCAGTGTTTCCTACTGAAAGTTGTTTCCTAATTTTATCCAGAACACTGGTAATTATTTTCGGAATGTGGACTTTTCTTGATTTTGGAGGATATTGGATAACTGAGGAAACAATTTATAAAATATTATGATTTCTTAACCTCTCCTTTTCTGTTTAGTAGCTAGTATTTGTACCAACTTAGTGCTACTAGAACTTGTAACAGTCCTGTAGTTATGCTTTGAGGTTAGGTGTCCAAAGGACAGAAACAATTGTGCCTGTGTCCTGGTCAGAAGAAATAGTGTGAGTCTCTGGTCATGTTGAAAATTGTGTGACACCCAACATATTTCTGAAATTTGTGCCTTTCAGGGTACTTGATTAGACTTTTCCTTTTATTTTGGGTCTTGTCACCTACTCCTCCTGCTTCTGCAGATAATCTGTACTTTCTATATTACTTTTTATTCTTTGCATCATAGTAAAATAAGTACTAATATCAGTGCAAACAGAAAGTCTGCCTAGGTTGGGACAGCTGTGCTTTTTTTAATTCAAGATGGCTTTGCCCTCTCATTCTCATTCTGCTTTGTCTGGGCTATATCTCTAAATCTAAATGCACAAGTAAAGCATACAAATTGTAGCTCTAAAGATGATATATAAGATTACATAGATTGTGCCCTCCTCCACAATGTTTTATGTACTCAGAAATACATACAGAGAAAGAGACAATTGCTACAATTGAAAGCTTAATTAAAACTCCATGAGGAGTGTACATATGCGTGTGCACGTGTGTATGACTGCTGTAAGAAAGGAAATGTTTTTTTGGCATTACAGAGTGCATTGCTGAAGGAGTGGGACAAACACATCCGAAGTACAGGGAAATAGGCTGGAGCTTGTACTTTTTCCCTTAAATGGACAACCCGTCTGGTTGCTCTGTGCTGACAGAAGCAAAGGGGTGTGTGAATCTAAAAGGCTGCTGTACTTTGTCCAAGTGAGTTTCATTTCGAAGCTGATAAAATGACAATTAAAATCTTAATTGTCAAAGATGTGGCCAGAATCATTCAGATTTAGGCCAGTGGGGTTTCAGAACAAGAGCAAAACACTCAATGAATTTGCAGTGAACTTTTCCGGTTTGATTTATACACTTTTAGTGCTCTTTAATACAATAAGGGCTGCTTTCATTGCTTTTCCTTTTTGGGGAAATGGTGTCAAAGAGTATAGTGTTTTGTGATTTGTGCTGTTCAAAAGTCTGCTCCAGCGCATATGTAAAAGTGATATTTTGGAAGAT